CAATATAATCATCATGAATAGGAGGCATGCTACCATTATAACAAATTTGCACATCAAAACATGGGGGACTAAAATATCATCTTGATCAAACATAGTATCCCCAAGCTTATGGCTTTGCATATCGTTAGCATCTTGGATATTCAAAGAGTTCATACCAACAATATTGCAATCATGCTCATCATTCAAATATTTTGTGCCAAACATTTTATCGACTTCTTCTTCTAACAATTGAGCACAATTTTCTGATCCATCATTTTCAAGAAAGATATTATAAAGATGATCAATAATATGATGCAACCTCAATTCCATTTTTTCTAGTTTTTTTTATAAACCAAACTAGTGGTAAAACAGGAAACTAAAAGATTTGATTGCAAGATCTAAAGATATACCTTCAAGCACTCACCTCCTCGACAACGGCGCTAGAAAAAAGCTTGATGTCTACTACATAACTTTATTCTTGTAGACACGTGTTGGGCCTCCAAGTGCAAAGTTTTGTAGGACAGTAGCAATTTTCCCTCAAGCGGATGACCTAAGGTTTATCAATCCATGGGATGCGTAGGTTGAAGATAGTCTCTCTCAAGCAACCCTGCAATGAAATACAAGAAATCTCTTGCGTCCCCAACACACCCAATACAATGGCAAATTGTATAGGTGCACTAGTTCGGTGAAGAGATGGTGGTAAAAGTGTAATATGGATAGTAGATATGAGTTTTTGTAATACGAACAATAAAAACCAGCACGGTAGTAAATAGTAAACGGAGCACAAACGATATTGTAATGATGGAAAATGAGGCCTAGGGTGCATACTTTCATTAGTGCAATCTCTCAACAATACTAACATAGTTGGATCATATGATTACCCCTCAAAGTGCAATAAAATAATCACTCCCGAGTTCCTATTAGCGGAGAACAAAAGATAGAAATTGTTTGTAGGGTATGAAACCACCTCAAAGCTATTCTTTCCGATCAATCTATCCTAGAGTTCATACTAAAATAATAGCAAGCTATTCTTTTCGATCAATCTAATCAAGAGTTCGTACTAAAATAACACCATATGATGCATATCAACCAATTCTAATGTCACCTAGATACCCCAATGTCACCGCGGGTACCCATGAGTTAATTATACGATATGTATCAAAAATATTCAGATTCATAATACTCAATCCACACAAAGAACTACAAGGAGACCCCAAAGTTTCTATCAGAAAAGATAATAAAAATGTGCATCAACCCCTATGCATAGATTACCCCAAAGTCACCTCGGGAATCCGCAAGTTGAGTGTCATAACATATATCAAGTGAATCAAAATAATACCCCATTGTCACCACGGGTACTCATATGCAAGACATATATCATGTGTTCTCAGATCTGAACATTCAATCCGACAAGACAAAACTTTAAAAGGTAAAGACTCAATTCATCACAACAAGTGTAGAGAGGGGGGAAACATCATATGATCCATGTATGTTAACAAAGCCCATGATACATCAAGATCGTGACATCTCAAGATCGCGCGCGAGAGAGATATTAAACACATAGCTACTGCCTCAGCCCCGAGGGTGGACTACTCCCTCCTCATCGTGATGGCCACCGGGATGATGAAGATGGCCACCGGTGATGATTCCCCCCTCCGGTAGGGTGCCAGAACGAGGCTTGCGGCGGCGGAACTTCCGATCTAGGGTCTCCCCGAGGGTTTTCGGAATATTTGAGAATTTATAGGGCGAAGAAGGGGTACGGGAGGCCACCGAGGTGGGCACAACCCACCAGGGCGTGCCTGGGGGCCCAGGAGTGCCCTGGTGGGTTATGCCCCCTCGGGGCACCCCCTATGTGCTGCTCTGGCCCATTGGTTTTCTTCTGGTCCATAAAAAATCCTCAAAAAGTTTCGTGGTGTTTGGATAACTTTTATTTCTGCACAAAAAACAACACCACAGTAGTTCTGCTGAAAACAGCGTCAGTCCGGGTTAGTTCCATGCAAATCATACCAAAACCATATAAAATTATTGTAAACATGGCATGAATACCTCATAAATTACAGATACGTTGGAGACGTATCACGGTGCTTAGGCGAAGCCCTGCGCAGATCACATCACCATCACCGTCACCATGCTGTCATGCTGACATAACTCATCTACTCCTTCGACCCTTTGCTGGATCAAGAGCTCGAGGGACATCATCACGCTGAACTTGTGCAGAACTCGGAGGTGCCATACATTCGGTACTCGATTGGTCGGAACGAGAAGACGTTCGACTACATCAACCACGTTGAGCAAACGCTTTGCTTTCGGTCTAAGAAGGTACGTGGACACACTCTTCCCCTCTGGTTGCTATGCATCTCCTAGATAGATCTTGCGTTAGTGTAGGATTTTTTTTGAAGTGCATGCTACTTTTCCCAACAACACTGTAGCATCACTGCCTTCCCTCCCATAAGTCAGAGAAGCTGGTTTCGTATCCACCTTGCTAAGAATAGCCACTTCTTCTGTTTGGTTAGGTATAGGTAGGATGAGTTGAGTTTTTGTTCAGTTGGAAGAATAAAAGATGGTTTGACATAAGCCAATTATGTTCTAGTATAAGATACAATTGGTGATAGGAATTGCACTGAGCTTTTTGGTCTAGGTGATAAGATCACCTCCACAACTTTCATTTTTTTTCAAATTAAGTAATCCAATACGATATGAACAATAATAATTTGGAAAATAAAACTATAGCATTACATTCACACTTAAAATTGAATAGCAATACTTCAATAATATGAGCTAAACTTGAACTTCTTTACTTAGACGAGTTGCAACTATTTCCCATAGTTCAACGTTCCATTTGAACATAGAATACTAGATCAAATCTAAAATGTACAACCCATATTTAATCCGTCACCGCTGCGAGCTCCAAACCCACGCAAACAGGCCCGAGACACAACCACATGAATCGAAAGCTCCCGGGGAACGCCAACCGTCTAGGGTTCCACACAAAATCAAAAGTAACAAGATTTGTTAGGATCTCGTGGGGAATCAACGAATTTCAATTTTGCTTTCATGGAATTGTAGATCGGGTGTTACTCTTGCTCTTCCTAAAATATGGGATGGATTAAGTGGCTAGATAGGTAGGAACCGAAGTTATAAGTTTTGAATCAATGGAGGAAAGATGGATTGAGTAGTCACCTTCTTTTGGGGAAGAAGGGTAGCTTTTATAGGCCAACTCAAAATTTTCCCGTTACTTGTGCTCCTTAGCGATGTCAGACTATTTGACATAATTCAGACATTCAGTGATGTCGGACTATCTGGGTCAATGCCCGACATGGTATCTAACATTACACAATGCTATGTATAAGGCCGAACATAATGTCGAACTAGACGACATGTAAAATCCGACCTGATCCAAAGAGCAATTAGAAGTGAGATACAAAGTCAGATAATATGACTTTTTGTGTGTCTTAATGTCTAACTTAAGGATGACTTGTACAACATCACACAAACAAGTAGAAACATGGGGCTCTTCCTCACATGGGTGTGGATGGTATTTGGTATCCCCTGTTAATATCTTAATAGTATGGCGTACCTAAGACTGAATAAACAGAAATCGTCGGTGCAAAAATTGACGTATTTTCTTCTTATATCCTTTTTGCTTAGGGGAAGGGAGGGGGGGGGGGGCGCCGACCAACATTATGTTCCAACATTGTCACTAACATCAAAACTCTCATTATAGGTTGTCATTTCAATCTCCTATTTTGGTGGTTAATGACAGTATGGTTAGTGATAATTCCCAAGTTTTTCTTTTGAGGGGTTGATAATTCCCAAGTGTGGCGAGAATTGTAGCACTTTTCGAAAGTGGAGGTGGTAAGTACATTAACCCCCAAAACAGCCCAAATAGGCCCAAAAATCAGGCGGGCTGGTGGGCCGGCCTGTTTCCTTGCTGTGTCGTGCCTGCGCGCAGCACGACCCATGTATTAGGCCCCATTTAGACCGTGCCGGCCCAGGCCAACTTTGGCGGGGGCACCCTCGGTCCCTCCGTTCGTGGGGATGTAGCTTTACTCCATCCCGGTCGGCCGGTTGGGGGGCAAGCCAAATCCAAACTAGAACTCAAAGTGGCTCGCCTTGAACCCTAGGAAACCTCGCGGGTGCGGTTGGCTACCGTGCTGCACATTCAGCGAGAGTGCTCCTCTTCCTCGCCGGTGAGAACACAGCTTCTTCTTGCATTTTATTGTAGTATAAGCATAAGCATACATTGGTACCATCCCAGATCTGGTTCTTGCTCTCATTTCACCCCCGTTTATTGTACTTTGCGTGCTCAAGCTTCTCGGATGAGACCAAGTTATCTCTCTTTGTAAAGCCACACGTTTTCCCTTTGGAATCCATAATAGTTTTGCAGGTTCCTTTGCTGCGCTACTGAAAATCTATGCACGCCTGCTCTGCTCGCCAAACCGCTAGGGTGTGTGTGTCAGACTGTCAGTGCCCAGATAGCCCTGCCCAAAAGTAAATAAAAAACGGTTTCCCATTATACTGATAACCTATGATTGACCAGACATTAGTGACGGTGTCCTTTTCCATTCCATTTTCTGAAATTTTTAGGTACTCTCCTTACTGGTTTAGTATTACAGAAAGTGTCATGTTCTGGGTCTGTGCCCATAGCCGACTAGGGATATGCTCAATGCCAAGCAAGATTTCTTACTTGTCAATAAATGTTTTGATGTCCTATTGTGGTACGCATTTTTCGGTTGGTCGATTACCCAGGGTGGCGGCAACCATTCTGCTCCACGACCCCCAGTTTGATGCTGAAGTCACAACAATTATGAGCACTAACCAAGACTTGCAATACTTAGTGTGAAGAGTCCATTAAACAAATAAAACCTTCATATTATTTATGTAGCGTGGTAGCATGGACACTCTTGAGATAATTGAACTTCCTGCTGGGTCCTCATTACTTGATGTATTAATCATGGAATGTATATATATATGGCAGGTTTTCTAGCCTTTGTTGTTAAGGAATCTGAGGTAGGGTTGCTATGAAGTCAGGTGATAAGAAGGTCATGAGAAGTGACAGTGATCAGATCATACACCTTGATTACAGAGACTTTGGGCGTTGGAAGGTCGAAAAATTTGCTCGTTATGTTGACAACCTATTGCTCGCCCGTCGTAATGTTGACTTGCACACATTCCGTCTGCATTGGGATCCTCATGTTCCCCTGAACTGCAATGATGTCAGAAAGTGGATTCGCTACGCTGTGAATCATAAAGTTAAAGTGCTTGACGTGGAGCTTTGCATGTATGATAAGACTAATTTACCTCCTGGCATTTTCACCTGCCGCTCACTTCAGGAGCTAAATTTGCAGTGGGGTGGAGCTCCTTTTCGAGATTATGAGCATAAGGGACTTGTGCTGCCTGACATAATCAAGCTTCCTTCTCTTAAAAAACTGACTCTACGCGATGTGGAAGTGCACGAGCTTCCTCTGGAGAGTTTCATTGCCCGGAGCCCTGGCCTAGAAGACTTGCATCTGATAGACTCTGCAGTGTGTCTTGAGCACATAAAATCAAAAGCGCTAAAAAGGCTAACCATTGATGGTTCCATGTATGGACCGGATAGAATGACAATTTCTGCTCCTAATCTCATTAGCTTTGAGTGCACCGGTTTTTCACTGGAAGATATTGTTTGGAGAGACCAGCCATCGCTAGAGAGTGCACACATAAATACTTGTGGGCGTACATTTGGTGGTGAATCTAGGTTTACAGGAGTTCTTGTGCATGCCAAAAAACTTGCACTATTTGGTCGTGACATAAAGGTATGCTTATCAGAAGACAGGCCTGTTGTTCTGTTTGGTATTTTTCTACTTTGTTTTCTTGCGAAAATATGAATTCTCTTTTGTCATAAATTCTATATCGAAAAGGGATTAATAAAACTATATGCTCTCTGCTCTGTATCTAGAGCTGTGGCGCGTGGTTGCTGTTGCTTGTAGTTGATAGTAGCATGTCAGCACGTGTATTGCCATATTTCCAGAAAGAAAAATGGAAGTCAATAAAGTGGTTTTACTTAAAAGTTAAACACTTCTGCTGCAACTAAAAGGCAAATATAATGTGATTGACTAATTTGTCAATGTACATTTTTTTCATGCTTTGCTTAATTTACCTCCTGTAAGTTCTCAATATTGGTTATTTGACTTTTTTGCTGATGATGTTCTGAAGATATTAAGATATATATATGGGGAAATGCCTGCAAGATAAACTTGTGTATCACATGTATTGCTTAATTTTCCTATCCTGATGGATTGAATATTGGTGCCCTTACATTTTCAAAGTGCAGCAATGGATTTTGCCCTATTTCAAGGCGTATTTGTCTATTTGAGATCAATAGCTTTTAGTTTTCTTTCTTAAAGGCTCTTCATGTGTTATGTTTGTTGAGATCGGTGATGATTGAATATTGGTTGCCTTTACATTGCCGGTACGCAGTCATGGTCATTTACTGAGGTGTATTTGAAATCAGAAGTTCTCTGTTTCCTTTCTAGGAGGTTCTTCGCAAGTTATGTTTATCGAAGTTTAATTCTAGCGTGGTAGGCTTAATGTTGTGTGTGTACCCTTTTTAAATTTTTTGCTGCTGAAATGGATGTGAATGTGCAAAGCAATATATACGAGACCATGAGTTTATCCATTAATTCTGAACTAGTTCTGATAATTCATGTTGGTCTAAGTTCTAACAAACAACTGTTGGATTCATAATATTTTTCTATACTGATCTGTTTCTGTGATTTACTTTTCTTCTACCAGTCGTTTACACTAGAACAGAGCAAACTTTCAATTTTAGTAAAAGTGCATCAGATATGAAGGAAACATTCAGAATATGAAAGCTAAGATATCAACGTCATTCTGTTTGATATGGATATTTTAAGCACTTACTGATTTGCTGTGCGTAAGCAAATGGCAGAAAAAACATGAACTTTAGAGATTGTGTTTGATAAGTTCAAGGTGCAGCTATTGTAGAAACATTGGGCAATGTTTCATTTGTTTGTTTTCATAGTGAGACATTTTGTCTGCTGGCTTCTTATAGCTTTCAACATTAGTTGTCAACTGTGGTGCGAAAGTCTTGTAGTGGTAGTGCTACATTTTCATGATGTCTTGTGTGGCAATGGTCAGTTGGTCTTTTCCCATTTTTGTTCAATTATTATACATTATCATGCTTGTTTCTGCTTCGGAATAGTTATAACTCGCTTGCCTACTCACTTAATCAAGGTTATGTTGGAAAATGAGCTGCCTACATGTTCAGTGTTTGAGAACCTTGTAACTCTTGAAATTGGCAAATGGCACTTGACCAAGGACTTCTATGTTTTGCTTCGCTTCCTCCAGCTTTCACCAAGACTAGAAGAGCTCACTCTGATGCATAAACAGGTACGCTGCACGTAATATTATTGAATTGATTTTTTAAAAAAGGTTTGCTAACATGTAGGACCTTTTTTTTTCTCTCTTCCTGTTTGTCTCTAGCTCGACGAAGCAGCAGAAACAGAAGGCATGCCTACTGATGGAATGACCTTCCAGTGTCCATTCCTTAAAAGTGTCATCATACAATATTCAGAGGGTGACGATGGAATTGACAAGCTGGTGGATGTTCTGGTAGCGAATGGTATCAGTTCGGACAAGATAAGTGTTACTTCCTACGAAGATATCAAAATGAGGGCCTTTGCTGAGGAGGCACGCGCCGAAGAGGAGCGTCCAAAGAAGAAGAGGGCGAAGAAAAATCCAGACTGGGAAGATGATGACTCCGACGAACAGAGTGACCCTGATGATCCTAGCGGCGACGAGTATGATCCTGATGACTTTTGAGGAGTGTGGCTTTGGCAGTGGCAGCAATGAATCTGACCATGATGATCTCTAGAGCTCTGTAGGGTTAAGGTTTACCCAGCCATTAGTTTCCCTTTTGTTCTGCATGAGACCTTCATTTGGATCCTTCCTTTTATTATTATGTCCTGAAACTTGGTGAATGCTGGATTACGGAGCAGCGGATCTTATCTATATGTATGCTGTAAGCATTTGCACTGCTTGAGCATTGCTGTGTAGCGTCTGCTGTTTTGCCGAAATCATCTGGAACAGAGGTGTTTGCAATTGCTCTGCTGTTAGCTGTGTGACTACTGATGGTTCTTCGATGTGGGCTGGAAATAGATGCGTGGATGTTCTGTGATTTGGGCTGTTACTAGTACTGCTAGATGATATGCAGTTGTATTAAAGATGTGTAGTGGAGGCGGACGTTTGGTCTATGGGTGTATCTACACCCTACATGAAAATAAAAAAATTAGTTGTAATTAAATAAAAAGTCAAAAAATTCTGAAATTATTCTTTAAATAAACTTGACCTTCCATTATGTCGGATATCGGGTTCCGGCAAAACCCTTAAAATTCGAACTCTGCGGTGCGTACAAAGATCTTCCCTCTATCGATCTACGCTCCAAAACTCTCGCCGCAGTTCTAAGCTAGCATGATGAACAACACAAGAGACGCAAGATTTATACTAGTTCGGGTCATCGTTGTGGTGTAATACCCTACTCTACTGTGTGGTGGTGGATTGCCTCTTGGGCTGATGATGAACAGTACAGAGAAAGAACAACCTCGTGAGAGGTGTTCTTGTGGTGTTCTGCTTGGGAAGGATTCGGTCCAAGATCGGCCAGGGTCCTAGCCTTGGTGGTGGCTAACCCTATTTATAGAAGCTCTGGTCCTCTCTCCAAATATTGAGCGGGAAGGGAGCCAACAACGGCCATTTTGAAAGGGGACAACTAGTACAAGCTATCCTGACTAAAGGTGGTCTTCGACTGCCAAAGGTACTGGTGATGACATCGTCTTGGGCTTCACGGTGACCTCCATCCTGCCGCTCTGCTGGTCTTAGTTTTGTTGCATTGATATGGAAATTTTTGCTTGATTTTTTTTCGAAAAGGGGGGGCTCCTCGGCCTCTGCATCAAAATGATGCATACGACCATATTTATAGATAAATAAAGGTGTTCAACAAGGTCGTAAAGTCTGAAAACAAAATAACGCCAAGCTCACAAAGAGCCACAACGCCAAAAACAAAAGGGACAAAAGCCACAACCGGCTGGCATAACAAAGATAGGTAAACTAATTGCATATCCTATTACATGACCGCCATCCAAACCGGTTGAAGATATCCCGCGCTACCATCTCCCACCGGACAAATCCAGTAACCAAACGCTCCCTGGCCTCCGTAGAAGTGAGTAACGACCACATACGGATCAGCGCAATAGCTCGGAATAAAACCTACAAAAAATGAATATTTGTTGTTCTATTAAAAGCCAAATTATTTCTGCAATTCCAAATTGCCCACAACAAAGCACATACTCCTACACGAATGTGTCTAGCTATTTCGGACTCTATCCCAACAAGCCACATTCCAAATAACGTACTGACCGAATTCGGAGGAGTAATGTTAAAGACAATATGCACCGTCTGCCACAAAACTCTTGCCAACGGGCAGTCAAAGAAGAGGCGCTTGATAGTTTCGCCCCGATCACAAAAACTACACCTAGTAGATCCTGTCCAGTTGCGTTTAATCAAATTATCCTTTGTTAAAATGACTTGTTTATGTACAAACCACATAAACACTTTAATTTTCAAAGGAACTTTGACTTTCCAAACCTCTTTGGAACTAGGGATAACACTAGAGTTAATGACATCGATATACATCGACTTAACTGTGAATTCTCCAGACCTAGTAAGCTTCCAACACAACTGATCGGGCTGATGAGATAGCTGAACCTCCATCAGTCTACTCATGAAATGAAGCCGTGCTTCCCACCGGTCACCCACAAGCGCCCTCCTAAACTGAATATTAAGGGGAATGGACTGCATAATCGTGGCAACAAGAGCATCACGTCATTGAACAATACGATACAGGGACAGATACTGAAGCGCCAATGGCGTTTCCCCAAGCCAGGTATCCTCCCAGAAGCGAGTGGTGTTTCCATTACCGACTATAAACTTTGTTCTATTAAAGAAGGCAGCTTTGACTCTCATAAGCCCCTTCCAAAACGTGAGTCTGTCGGTCTCACTGTCGCCCGGGACAACGTCTTGGACTGCAGATACTTACTATGGAGAATCTGCACCCACGTGGCCTCAGTCTCAACTGAAAGTTTATGCAGCCACTTCCTGAGAAGACATCTGTTCATGACTTCAAGATTCTCAATACCAAGGCCCCCCTGGTCCTTTGGTCGACAGATGATATCCCATTTGGCTAGTCAATATTTTCTCTTTAGTTCATCACTCTGCCAAAAGAACCAGGATCGATAGAAGTCCAGCCTTTTCCTAACACCAACTGGGACTTCGAAGAAAGATAAGAGAAACATAGGCATACTCGTGAGCAGCGAATTAATAAGAACCAGTCGGCCTCCGTATGACATGAGTTTTCCCTTCCAGCAGCTCAGTTTCTTCTCAAACCGGTCCTCGATGCTCTTCCATTCTTTGTTTGTCAACTTACGAAGGTGAATGGGTATACCTAAGTATGTGAAAGGTAATGCCCCCAATTCGCATCCAAACAATTGCCTATAAGCCTCTTGTTCCTCATTGGCTCTGAAAGGATCGATATGGTTGACTAGAGGGGGGGGGGTGAATAGGCAACTAACAATTTTAAGCTTTTCTTTACCAATTTAAACTTTGCAACAAAATAGGTTGTCTAGATATGCAACTATGTGAGCAACCTATATGATGCAATGACCACTAGCACATAAGCAAGCAATGGAAACAACACAAATAAGCTTGCAAAAGTAAAGGCACGAAATAACCAAGAGTGGAGCCGACGGAGACGAGGATGTGTTACCGAAGTTCCTTCCTTTTAAGGGGAAGTACATCTCCGTTAGAGCGGTGTGGAGGCACAATGCTCCCCAAGAAGCCACCAAGGCCACCGTAATCTCCTCACGCCCTCACACAATGCGAGATGTCGTGATTCCACTATTGGTGCCCTTGAAGGCGGTGACCGAACCTTTACAAACTAGGTTGGGGCAATCTCCACAACTTAATTGGAGGCTCCCAACGACACCACGAAGCTTCACCACAATGGACTATGGCTCCGAGGTGACCTCAACCGTCTAGGGTGCTTAAACACCCAAGAGTAACAAGATTCGCTAGGGATTAGTGGGGGGAATCGAATATCTCTTGGTGGAAATGTAGATCGGGGCCTTGTCACCCAATCCCGAGCAAATCAACAAGTTTGATTGGCTAGGGAGAGAGATCGGCCGAAAATGAAGCTTGGAGCAACAATGGAGTTTAGGTTTGGAAGAGGTGAGTCTTCTTGGAGAAGAAGACCCCCTTTTATAGTGGGGGGACAATTCCAACCGTTACCCACCACTCAGCCCGCGGCCCACAGAACTACCGCTCCACAGGCGCTGTACTACCGCATGGGCCTGCGGTACTACCGTGGTGGACCGCGGTACTTCCGTGAGCATGGCAGAGTCCATACCAGGCAAAAGGAGCACCAATAGGGCACGGTAGATCCACAGGAGCGGTACTACCGTGGCCCCATGCGGTACTACCGCAAGAAAGCCACAAGCCAGGCCTGGTAGGCATAGATGTAAAAAATTACATCCATGACTACCTCCGCTGAGAAAAAGTCGAGCAAAAATCTGACACGGAACTACCGCGACCGAGGGTGCGGTACTACCGTGAAGGGTGCGGATGTAAAAAATTACATCCGCCCTACCTCTGCTCCTGCTACGGAACCTGGCCTGGTGCCACGGTACTACCGCGCCGCAGCACGGTACTACCGCGGGGAGCGCGAATGTAAAAAATTACATCCGCACCTACCACCGCTTGAGTAGCGGTGCCAGACCAGAGCTTGCGGTACTACCGCTCCGAGGAGCGGTACTACCGTGGGAGCCTACAGTACTACCATGCCGGGGCCCGGTACTACCGCTGGCTCCTGCGGTAGTAACGCTCAAAAGAGCAGTACTACCGCTAGCCTGAGAAGAGCAAGACTGAGGCCTTCATTTCGCAGAGACAAGGTGAGACGGAGGAACACTCCGAGGAGCTCGAGTAAAGGCGGTGCAGAAGGAAATGTGTACGTGAGATTCCACCCAAAACTTTCCAAAGCGGACCCCCTCTTAATAGTACGGCTTTCCTACGACTCAACTCCACCGAACCAAACCGTAGAGAAAAGCCGTCTTTAATAATCTCCGAGGGGAATCAAATCATCTTGTGTTTAGTCGTGATATATCTGAAAAGCTCAATACACACGATTAGTCTGCAAAGGCATTGTCATCAATCACCAAAACTACGGAGGGACAAGAATGCCCTTACAATCTCCCCCTTTTTGGTGGATTGATGACAATACGGGATTTGCACAAATGAAATAAATATAGCACAGGCAAACCCCACATCTTCTAAAATATAGATGAGCTCCCCCTAGATTCGTGCTAGAGGGTAAAGTTCTTTGGACTGCACGGCATGAATACTAGGATCACCACTCCCCCTATATTTTTGAAACAGAGCATATCTTGCAATGGTAAGGCTGACACTAAACAAGATAGATGATATGAGCATAACATGAATAGCATGATATAGCACAAGCTCAATAAGGAGATAACTAGAGAGTGCATATGTCTTACACCATATGATAGACTAAGTCTCACGAGCACAACCAAACCAAAGCAAGCAGGTTCAACGGCGGAAAGCAAAGCAAACGACGAAACACACGACATGCACGCAAATCCTACACTCTCTCCCCCTTTGGCATTGAGACACCCAAAAGGCAGAGAGGTCACCTACAACACAGGTGGTAGCTCAGGCGGAAAACGACTCATCGTCGCCAGACTCCGCAGCAGGAACAT